TTGGATGCCTCCAGTGCTCTGTAGAGTAACCACAGCTGAGACAGGAAACCTCCCTAGTCCTGCCAGGTCCACCTGTGCAGCTGCATTCCTCTGTCACAGCAGTAAATAGGAGGAGTAGAAATACTTGGAATCAAGTGCAAGTGCTACAGAAGCACCTGGAGAAGAAGCCATGGGACAGCCCACCGAGCTCAAGTCCACCTGACAGAAGAAGTGACAGTTTCTTCTGCAAAGGACTATGCAAGGCTACACTCATTTATTAACGAGCAATTAGCAGAAAACCACAGAACTGGAACAGAAATACACCAGTCAGCCAGAGCAAACTCCCAGTGCTTGTACAAGACAAGGTCCCACTGTGGGCTAAAGGAAACTCAGACTGGTCAGTGCCCCACTGCAGGTGAGCCCCACGGAAGCCCCCCTTAGCACACTCATCCTTGGCAAGCAGCTGCTCTCCATCTCTCATTTCTGAAGGCTATGGTCTCATCAGGGAACACTCAGTCCTTCTCACAAACCTCTCTGAAGTAATCTGCCTAAAACGTGGAGGGAGCCTTTTATGCAAGTTCACCTTCGAATTATCTTCCAGTCAAAAGCATGGCTGCACTCAAGGACAAGGTGCAGAATTAATTCCTTATGAGCTTGTGAATATATCACCTTCCCTGAAGCAGCTGGACAGGACACACAGGAGGCAGAAGGCATTGGAAACATGGAATCATATGCAGGGCCAGGAATTGGACTTGACATCCAAATGTTCCTTCTGGGTCTCTTCCACAGTCCAGGAGATTCTGTGATTCTGATTTTCTCCATGTGGGTGAGAACAGGCCTTAGCCCAGGTGACACCACCATTTTTTGAGATGGAGGTTACAGCAAGATCTGTAAATTCTTGAGCTCAGCAATGCAGGTGAACACATTGCCAAGCCACATCCCAATCCCAACACCCCCCTGTCTCCCCATGGGCCTTTTCTGTTCTCCAGTGGGTTCCCAAAGGCACAGAAGGCTTTGCTCTGGTACCTGTGACCAGTGTAATCCATGGGGGATTACAAACCTGCCATGAGAGACCCAGCCCACGGCATTTGGACTAACATTCACACAGCTTGTCAAGCTTTCACATCCCAAATTCCCGAAGCCGAGTCACGGAGGGCTGCTCCAGCTAGCAGCAGGGGGGTCACTGCTCTGGGATCACAGCCGGTGAGTCAAGGCAGGAGAATGCAATAGTCACACACTGTGTCACTGTTTTATAACTGATGAAAGCCCACAGCCAAATTAGCAAAGAAATCAAGAGGTTGTTAAGAGAAGGGTCCAGCCGCTGAGGCCGCACTGTGATTGCACAACTCAATGCATCCAGAGCAAAAGGAAAATGTTGCTGGCCATAAAGAAACCAAAGGGGGAGATGCCAAGGGAGGAACAGGCTCATCGTGGTGGATGCACCCTCTGTGATGCCGTAAGCAAGGGTGTGTTATCTGCTCTCCCCAGTGACCAGACTCACTGAAGGTCCCACCAAAGAGCACAGAACAGCAGTGGAGGCTGGAAATGAGGGAAATTCCAAGCACATGAGCAGCATCCCTGATCACAGTCCTGTCCCTCCAGTGAGGGCTGGGGCGTGCAGAGCACACCCTGCCAAGGAGGCTCCAGACAGGGAGGAGGCAGCCAGGAGACAGAGCTGGAAACTCAAGCTGCCTTTACTCTTTATCCACCTTTACTGTAAGATGGGTGAATTCAGAGCACAGGACACTGAACACAGAAGCCCACCGTGATTGCTGCTGTCATCCTGACTGATCTGTGACAACAGCTCACACATCACCTCTGCAGCCATCCTGATTAAATGCAGACAAGAGGAGTCTGCCCCTTCTAACAGCAAAATAAGGCAAGCTGGGCACTGCTCAGAAGCTGGCAGAGTAGGAATGCTGGAGAAGAGGCTTAGACAGGCTATCAGGAAAAGGCTCTTCCCCAGAGGGTGGTCAGGCACTGAGCAGGCTCACCAGGGAATGGCCCCTTGGCTGCCAGAGCTCCAGGAGCCTTTGGACAAGGCTCTCAGGCACAGGGGGGATTGCAGGGGTGTCCTGTGCACGGCCAGGAGCCAGAGCTGACCTTTGCAGGTGCCTTCAGCTGCGGGTATTCCGTGACTCCATGAACCCCACGGCCCTGTGCCAAGAGCACAGCACAGGTCACAGGTGCTCCTGGCCTGCACAGCTGGGCCCACCCAGACACCTCAGCCCAGCCCCACTGCCCCCAGCCACACACCCCAGGCATCAGTGCCTGGGAGGTGCTGCTCCCCTGTCTCCCCTCTGAGCAGGGGGAAGGGCAACGTTAATTTATGTCTGGCCTAGCCCCACACATACATCTCCTTTCCCTAAGGGAGTCTGCTCTCATATTTAACCTCTTCATTCTGCTGGCACTGGAGGTGGATGATGCAGCTTGTGGAGAGGTGCAGGCACTTCCCTCTCCCCCTCCTCCTGGAATCTTCCTCTCACTTGTGGTCCTTGGGATTCACCCAACGCTTCTCAGGAAAAAAAGGAAAAAAAAAAAAAAAAAAAAAAAGAGGACCCCTAGACAAGTATGCATTTAATAAGCAGTGAGACAAATAAGCTCCAGTTATCCCAGCAGAATTACAACACCAGAGAACAATTTTCTGCATTCCTCTGAAGGCCTGAAGGAACCCAATTGCCTGCTCTCAGGCTAAATAGGTACCAGACACCAAGTGCTCCATAAGCAAACAGAGCCCCCAAAGTGCAAAAATGAAATAAGTAAAAAGCTTCACATTACATATAAACCAGCCGTTTGCACCTTGTTATTAATGGTCTCAACTATGACCTTTACACCCTGCCTTGCTCAGAGTCATGGATCTATGAGGCTTGGCACCCTCACAACAATTCCAGGATGAGGAGCAGGGAGTAAACTTGCCTAGCCAGTGCTGGAGAGATGCAGGAAGGGAACTGGCCTGTGAGAAATCTGGATGGAGAAGCAGCCCAGGGCCATCTCCATATGAATCTGTCCCCATAACCTCAGTGACCCAGGTGTCTGACAGCATGAAAAGTCCTTTTGCCACATACATACATGCATAAAAGCTGCTAACAGGCATCTATTCCAAATTTCAAAAATGAAGGGCTCCCAGCATGGTAAATATCTGTCAGAGATTACTCCCCAGAATTCTGATGTGATTTATAGCCTGCATGAACTAGGGTTGCAGTGAACAGACCTTGTTACCCTGAAATATTTATTAGTCTGAACTGCCTCACCTCTGCCACATAAAGCCTTGTGGAAAAGCTATTGTCATCCCAATGGCTGTAAAGTCACCACAGTTCTTGTTTCAAAGAAGTTACATCAATATTCATCTTGTCCTGAGTTATAATTGCAATTTTTAATGTATGTATACATAGAAATGTAGATGTGTATATGCACACACATACAATGTAATTGATATGATATTCCTAAGGTATGGGTCAGGTGTAAGTGTCTGCTCCTAAGTGGCAGAGGAACACTTCCCAAAAACATGGAACATTATAGAGAGCACTCCTTCCTCAAGAACTGCTGGCACTTCTGGAGACAGGAAGATTTTCATTACACAGCCTGCTGCCAGCTCTCCTCGCAGAACAAGCCCATCCCCTTTCTGTTACTGTTATGTCAAGGGAGGACAGTGAGAGAAAGCAGCTCTTGGGATGATACATGGGAGGCAGAGCTTCATTTATAACCCCACACAACTGCTGGAAAAGGTTCAACTTTAAAAAGCATTAGGCTGGTTACCTTATGGGCCCCTGCAGACCACAAAGTGAAATCACATGAACACAACAGGCCTATTAATCACCACAGTGATTCCAAGGTGAGAAACAGACCCAGTGACCAACTGGAAAGAAAGTTGAGAAAATTACATTCTAGTAGTTAGGTAACTCTGAAAACACTGGCAGTATCTTTCTGTAGGGCTTCCCTTTTGATTCCTTGATTAATTCAAACATTAACCTGGATTTAAGTCCAGTCAACAGAAATATGTCATTGTTTCTGGAGAGCAAACAATGACATTTCCACCTAAGCAAGTATGTTTCCCTTCAAAGTTACAAATAAACTACACTTACATGAGATACAGAGGTGACTTTCTGCTTCACAAAACTTGGTTTACAAGGTAAAGAAGGATTTGAAAATAAGGAAAAAGAAAAATAATTAATTCTTGATCTTCAGTGTAAGGAGGTATTTTAAGTCAATTCAAATGATTTGTAATTGACTGATGAAGAGATTGTTCCAGAGAATACAGTAGGCTACAGCAAGCTTCTTCCATCCAGGATTCAGAAACTGGATTAATATACACCACCTCTGGAAGAAGCCATCAGTGTCACAAACATTCACAAAGATAGTGGAGATCAAACGTGTAAAATCTCCCCAGTTCTTACCTGTAAGTGTATGTGCTTATCTGCAAAAAGCAAGATGATGGGTTTTCATGTGCTCAGAATTAGCATTTATCCACAAGTCTGTGCTATTTTTATCACTTCCCCTTCTAAGCAGCCTGGGCTGACATGACTGCTTCCCTGATGCCAAGCAGCAGACCTGTGTGGGAAAAGACTTTTGCTCTAAGGGGAGAGTGGAGATGGAAGTCACACCAATTACCTCAAACCACGTGGCTGCCACATCTTTTCCCCTCTGCAGCAAACAAACCCTCAGGACTCCTCTGTATGGGAAGCAAATCCTTTGAAGGATTTTCCACATCTCCATTCTTTTCAAGTCTTCATAACAACAGTGAAACTATTTTGGACTAACACCTGAAGGTTCAGGTCTCCCAACAGAGTCCCCTGCAGATATCACAACACTTTGGGCAGTTTCAGAAGCCATCCTGTCTTTCAAAATGCCTTGTCTTAAAGAATAAAAGATGCACAATTAAATCTAAAGAAGTAACGTGAAGTAAAGGAGTTCACCATCTCCTTGAGTAATGCAAGCTCATAAGAGAGAGAAGAAACAAATCTTTGTTTGCACACTGTAATCTATATTTAACAGACACTTAAGAAGTCAACAAATTCAATGTGTTAAGTAGCAACCTTTTAATAAAGAAAGCAGAACCATACTTTGCTGTTAACAAATATTTTGAAAAAGGCTTATGAAATTAAATCTAAGCCAAGTATCTGGCGCATCTGCAGCTGAGAAGGAAGCATCAGTACTCCAAACACCTGCTCAGTTTGTGTATTCTCCTTTCTTACAGAGGAAGTATGAGCTTCCAGTTGTCCAAGTGATTTAGAGAGCAATAAACTATTGCTCAACAAGAACTATTTTCTTAGATGATTACAGATTAAGGCCAAGGAAGAAAATTCACATGCTAAGCACCATCAGCATGGAAGATGGTCAAGGATATCAGTTTGAAGAGCCCAGATTTCTTCCTTGGCTCCCACAACTGGGGGTCAGCCAACCCCCAAGTGAGGCTCGTAAGAACAAAATCAAACTATGGTGGAAAATACACGCCAGTCACACTAGCCAGCTGATGCCAGGGGCTGGACAGCAGCAGGTCCTCAATGTGCTCCACAGTGAAGATGAAGGGTGAAAGAAGAGTCCCAAAGCACTGGAAGAAACACAACACAACAATAAATCAGCTCAGTTTCCAAACCAACCTCCTTCTGCAGACCCAAAGTATGAGCAAAAACCACCCTGTGTCTTGCCCTCAGGGCAACAGAATTCCAACCCCTTCCCTGCTGATGCCATGAAACAGGCTTGTTGTAGACCCTAGATATTAATGAAGACACAGAGGAGAAGAAAAGCCCTCTGGAAGCCCCAGCTCAGGCTCGTGCACTCACCCTGGTGCAGTCCATTCAGCTGGAGGCCAGAACGCTGGGAGCACTCACGGGCCACAGCACCCGCAGCACCTGGGGGGAAGCACGAGGGTTAGGGTGGCATTCCTCCACACCACAGCTCTTCCAGGGCTCAGCACTGTGCCTTCAGGCTCAACAGACTAGGCAGCAGAGGACAGGATTTTCAGAGGACCACAGAACTGTTTAGGTTGGAAGGGACCTTAAAGATCACCTGATTTTTTTCAATATGCAGGCACAGATTATTTACAGGTCACCGACCCCAAGAGAACAGCCCATCCACCAAGAGCAGTCTGTGCTTCCAGACGGGATCCATACTCTAGATGCCATCTAAACAGTTCCAGAAGTAAGATTAGGCTAAAACAAATCATGCAAACTCCTCTGCACCTTCTCAACCCATCCCCCAGATATTCCACTGGCACTCAGGTTATCCTTGTGCAAACCCTCATTTCATGAGTTAGCAACAACAGGACTCATTTACTTTGAAAGTTTTACTTTGGCCCTCCTGGCTTCTATCATAACCTCAAATATTACATTAAAAAGGCTTTTAAAACATAACATTCACAGCGGTGCAGGCGCTTTTCCTTGCAGTGGGCTTCTTCCCTGCCTGTTAGCGTGTGGCACCTTCACATTAAGTGCATGAGTTAAGATGTAGATTAGCAAGGCAAGAAACCTTTGCCCTTGGCATCGACACTCAGCTCTGACAGGAAACTTCAGGCTTTTTTTCCCTACCAAGTGTAGAACCACTCATTACACATTGGCAGGGAAGTGCACATCTCCAAACTATACACATTTTCTCTTAGATAAGCAAAAGACTCAAGTGTTTATAAATATGAAAAGTTCAGCAGCTGGCTAAAAAGTTAATTCTTCAGTCTCACTTAATGAGCTTTGGGGAAAGTGGTAGGGGGATTTGTTCTTAAAGTAAAGCAGAGTGTCACACAAAGCAGGACTTGCCAGACACAGCTCTGCTTTGCCCTATTTTCTGTCCCTAGATGGCTGCCACAGACAAAATGGCAAGGAATCCTCCAACAGGGAGCTAGGGACCAGCCAGAATGAAAAATGTTTTCTCCTAATCTTGCAATCACAAAAATTAGCCAATTTTTAATTTAAATCCCATGACTTCCTTCTTTGTTGTGAAAGTATCAAGCAATCCATATAAAACCACTTTGGAACAGGGACTGTCTTAGGATTTTGTCCAATTCCCTGAAAAAGAAACTTGTTTTCAGTAGGATACAGCAGGAACACTGCTGCACTATTTTTTCAGTACTTTAATAATAATTTACACTGGTCTATTCCAGTAACATAAGGTTCTGATGTAAAAAATGGGATTGATCTGCTTGGAATTGTCCAGAGCAGCTGTGGCTGCCCCATGCTTGGAAGTGCCCAAAGCCAGGCTGGACTTGGAGCACCCTGGGATTGTGGAAGGTGCCCCTGCCCATGGGCAGGAGGTGGAACTGGATGGGGTTTAAAGTCCCTTCCCACACAAACCATTCTGTGACTCTATGAAGGTTATGTTCATTGTTTTCAGGAACTTGTGAGATCTGTTTACAGTGCCTGCTATCACTCTGTATCACTGCTGTTCTTCACAGACTTCTTGGTGTCTTTGTATTACAGCAGGAACTGTGCAACCTCACTTTTGCAAGATGATACATGTCCACCCAGTCCTCCATGTAATTATTAAAAAAAATTAAAATTCATACTGAATGAAAAAACAATCAGACCCTTTTGTCTGCAATTTCAAAAGAAGTTGTTTTATCTAGCAGCATTTTTCAGCTTCTTCAGACAGTTCAGATTATTGTCATTTGCATACCTTCCTCTCTTCTGTCACTGCGAAGAATCTAAACAGCAGCTGCTTCAGAAACACAGCTGTCTGATCATCAAGAGCAGTGTGATTCTCCAAGAGATCAGAAATCTGAAACAAACAGCGAGGCCCAGGGAGCACCTGTGCTGGTACTTGTGATTCTCCAAGAGATCAGAAATCTGAAACAGTGAGGCCCAGGGACTTGTGACTCTCCAAGCGATCAGAAATCTGAAACAAACAGTGAGGCCCAGGGAGCACCTGTGCTGGCACTGCAGCACCTGTGGATCCTCTGCCACTGCCTGTTCCACTGTCCTCACCAGCACCACCTCACACAGTTATCATGGAATCACAGAATAGTTTGGGCTGAAAGGGACCTTAAATATCACCCAATTTCAACAGCTTGTCAAGGGCAGGGCCGCTTTCCACCCCCTCAGGTTGCTCCAAGCCCCACCCAAGCTGACCTGGCACGCTTCAGGGGTTCAGCAGCCGCAGCTTCTCCGGGCACCTTCACGGGCTCTGACTGCACCAGCAAAGGCCCAGCGCTGTGCCAGCTGCAATCCCCAGGGGAGCAGAGCCCCCGAGGGGAGCAGCACACCGTGCAGGAGCCCAGAAACGCCGGCGGCGCCGGGCTGGGAGCGCGGGCCGGCCGCGCCGATGCTGCGCCGCGCTGTGTACATTGGAACTAGCAAACGCTTCCTTGTGATTTTTGGCCACTTGGAATATTTTTAGCAATTTGCCAAGGTTTACCCTGTGATTTATTATGGAGGAAACAAACTCAAGCACTAACAAATGAAAATATGTAAACTCAGACTTTTCAAGCCCATAGAAAGGTATTCAACTTCTTAAACCCCTTCTGAGGCATTCAGCTTGCTGTGGATTCAACTGCTGGAAAAAGAGTTTGATTAAGAAGCAACTGAAATGTAATCTAAGGAGTCACTGCCTGGAGATTTACAGTGAAAAATTCCATACACACAATACTTTCCAATTGCCATTCCTAAAACCGTGTTCTAGGTTTCTTGGAAATTCAAGAGTTGGAAATACATTTCACATTGCTTTTATCTACAGCCAAAGCACTCCAGATATACCAGCTAGAACTTCATTATCTCAAATTACTATATCTAGTAAGTTAAAGAACAGTAAGATGAAAAATACTTGAAGTAATAAGATACATAGGAAAAAATAATTTAAAAAGCCTAAAGTACTGGAATTACTTGAAGATATAATGCTCAGTATAACAAATAATAATTGATTTATTACAGTATGCTTAAGTAAAAAGGCTGGTGTCATTAAATAGAAGATAATCTTCTATTTTTGGTAAGTAGATGCTACTACTACAGGCCTGCAGAAGACAAGACAGTATGTATAAAGTGTTAGCAGCCATCAAAGCATTATCTGTAATAAAACTATTGAAGCAATCTATTAACTGAACCACAGAATCACAGAATGGTTTGGGTTGGAAGGCACCTAGTTGCAACACCCCTTTTTGTGAGCAATAAAAACAGAAATGTTACTTTGATGTTGAGTATCATAGTTTCTTACAAGTTTTCTGAATCCCTCTGAAAACACCAGGAATTGAATCATGAGAACAATCATCAAATAAGTAAAATGTGGAAGAATTTTTATCATTAGAGTATGATTGAGAGTCAACATTAATACTAGCTAAAATAGCAGAATACTGGAAGCTGGTATTTCCTTCTCAGCTGTCAACCTCAAGAGAGTAATACAGAATTCCCTTCTCACTGGATGATCTCAGTACACAATTTCAAATTTGCTGATAATAAACTGCCACAGAGTGTCAAGAGTGCCTTTGTCTGTGCCTGCCACCACTGGTTTGGTTGGGGGAATGCTGTGGCAATGCACACTCTTCTTGATCATCTATCTTTTCAGCTGAACAGAACTATCCATCTTTTCCTAAAGAAAATAAACACAATAAACACACTGCCAAACGACTCAAGCCTGGGAGGTTTTTCCCCACTCTGGGACTGGACATCCCAGCTGCAAAGCCAACTCAACCATACAAAGTCTTTTCTTTTTGTTGGTTCAAGAAACCCAGCAGAGAGAACCTCACCAAGCAATTCTTTGTTAGCATAACATCTGACATTCTATCTCTTTGGAAATCATACAACTTTGCTAATTCAGCCCTTACAGAATTAATCAAACAAATAGTTAGCCCCTAGTTACTATGAACCCAGCCAATTATGAGCAGCACTGAAATTTGTCACTGGCATGTCCAACTACATTTTCCAGCATAAAGATCAGCACCACTCTGTGGGAATGAGGCCCCACTCTCTGACCTGCATGACTTGGACACTGGACTGGGCTCACCAGTAAAGCCAACACTTCTAGGAACAAAGTATTCTTAAAAAAGAAGGGCTTTCCTCCTGGGTCTCAATTACCTGGTGCATTAAACCAGCCAGGATGCCAGTGTCTTTTATCCTCAATTTTGATTAGCACAGCCAGAATAAATGATTCCCTTAGAGTTCAGAGCTCTTTATTTGCTACTCTGCTCTACTGCACGAGATCCACAGTTCAGTAAAGGCCAAACTTACTGCTTGGAGTAGTTTGAGAAAGTAATTTATGCTCCACAAGCATGAGATTGACTAGAGGCTACTTTGCCCTGGACCTCAAAATTCCCAAAGCCCCACAAGATACCTTAGCAAGCCCCATGATAGAGACAGTACTTACAGCTTTTGCAAAAACGACCATCAGCTCAGGGAACTGGTGGGTAAGGAGGGCCAGCATGGCTGAAAAGGAACACAGGCCTGCTGTGAAATGGATGAAAAAGGGAAGCTCCTTCTGGGGGTAAACGGAGACTTCGTGAAATGCTGAAAGGAAAAAATGAAGAATGTTGAGATTTGATAATCAAGGACTGCTTTCTGAATTATTTATGGCCTTTTAACTCATTTCTGGACTTTCAGAAGGAAAGACTCCTGCAGCACATCTTAGGTTCCAGTACTTTAATTTCTTAATTTTTCCCCTACATCACATGCTTGTTTTCATTATTAAGAGTCTTCACATATTTGTTTTCATTATTAATATTATCTTCCCAGTTTTCTTTTTCACTTGCATAGGCTTTATTTTTTAAGCATTTAATCAGGCAAAGTTTTTGGTACCTCCTTTTCTAACAGGACAGAAGGAACACCTGTAAAGTTCACAAGCTGTCAAAATTACCCAAACCAACTAAAACAGTTCAGGTGTCTTCAACTCTCTAGAGCTCTAAGCAGCTGAGCAAGTACAAAACAACCAGCATGCTGTATACACACATATTTCATAGTACTTCTTGAAGTCTTCTGGTTGTAGACTACAGTAAATCTGTTCAGAGCAGCTGACAGAGCAGACCTCAAAGAAAACAGTGCCAGGACGGGGTTATAAATTCTGTACATAGCAGCTCCTTGCAATTTCCAATCTCTGGTAACAAAATCCAAAGCAGGTGATTAGCCAGGCTAAGGGTGGCATGTGGAGCTTTCAGCACTCACAACACTACCACTGGTCACTCGCCGAGGACCTGCTGGGTGAATTTGCAATTACTTACTGGCTCTGGATACCTCCAGCTCTGATTTCTACCTAATGATTTCACAAGATTTTTAAATGAATAAAAAAAGTTTCTATAGACATGAGTCATTATAAAAGGACTGCCCTTCTTGACAAGCTGTTTTTAAAATCTAACAAAAACCTAAAATTATGAATGAGCCTTTTTTTGTAAAATGAGAAAATACAATTGTATTCTTTCTTAAACTGAAGCCTGTGGAGGAAAAAGACACTTCACCCTCCCAGTTACTGCTTCTGTATGCTAGCACATTAAAGGACCATTAGAAGAGTAAACCCAGCAAAAGTGTCTTGTGCTCTTGCAATTCATTAATGGCAAAGTGCTCAGGGTTTGTTTTGGTTTAAATGCTATGATTTTGGAGCACAATTACATCGACTATTTGGAGATCCATGTCTAACATCCATCAGAGATGTTAATGGTACCCAGAGATTCATACTAACCAATCCAGGTTTTCTGAATCACTGATCTGGTCAACATTATTTTAAATAGATAACTTTAAAAAAAATTAAGTGTCAAGATTTCTCGAAGAAGTACTGCAATAAAAGTGCTAAGATGATTTTATTTATAGGTAGTTCTATATTTAAAACAAAACAGGAATGCGTGAGTGATCCTGTTGAAATATCTGCATGTGTTGGTGTTTAATTATGCTGGGAAGTCTACAATTTAGGGTTAGTTGCTAACCAAGGAATTCCTTGTGCAATATCCTGCATAAGTGAGAAATGAGTAATTTAAAGCAGTCTGGGGGCAAATTTAAATTACACATTTTAAATATAACTTCAGGCTTTTAAATAGAAACATGTCTGTGCAGTTTTCCTTTCCACAGCTGTGGTCTCTGTAGGGCTGCTGGTGCTTTTGCAGTAGCCCTTTCCAGTCCCAGGGGAATTGTGTTTCTTCAAGATATAGAAGTTCAACCCCAAAAGAATTCAATTAAGATGTATAATTAACAGCTCAATTCTAATCTAAATTAATGCTATTTTCCTAAATATCATGAGTACAGGCAGTAATGATAGAGTCTATTTGTAGAAAAAACCAGGTAGGCTCATCACTGCATAAAGCAACCTTGAAGCAAAGAGCAGCTGGGTAAGACTTTTCAGTATCAAGTGTTAGCATAAATCCATGGAAATACATGTAGAAAAAGTTCCAGGAGGCAGCCAGCAGATCAATACAGACCACTGAATTAATGACAGAAAGCAATAAATGTTCTGTGAAGCTGCAGGTTAACCAAAGGGTCTCTGTGAGATCACAGACAGGTTCTACTGGATACCCAATGCAGGACTGGAACCATGGACTGAGTCAAATCCATGAATTCTTTTAAAAGCAATTTTTAACAAACGGTCAACTTTGTTTTTCTCAAGGCTGGCCAGACTCAGTCTGCATGTACCACACACAGATTTCATCTCTGAAGGACTTAGGTTATTACTGCATCAAGCTGACATTTACCACACACACAAGTCAAGTGCTTCAGGATCCTTTGGGAGGGACATCAACAAATAGCTGAATCCCCTTCACAGGAAGCTCAAACTAAAAAAATCACAGTAAGGTAAATACAGAATACCACAAACTGAATATGTCCTTAGCCTGTGTTTTATTATCATTACTGCTTAGAAACCACTTACTTGGCAACAGTTCTCTGTCTGCTGTTTCTGTGCAGCTCGGGTAGGGATAGAAAAGATGTCCTTTCTCTAATGGGTATGGGATCATCCTAAATGCTGCAAGAAGGGTGAGTGACATTAGATCTGAATCTAATCAGGCAACCAGCTTCTCACAAAGAGAACCAACCATGTTTGAGGGGGGTAAAGGCAGACACTAGTCTACTGTACAGAAAAGAATACAAGGAGATACTTACTGCCTTCCCATGTGCAGTGCAGCAGATTTAGAGCCCCTTCTATCCTCTTCCAGTGCTGGAGGTGAAAAAAAGCATATGCTACTGCCTCGCTGTCCCCTCGCTTCAGAATGTGCTCTGGAGGCAGCACCAGGCTTTTCATTTCCAGTAAATACTGAAAGGAAAAATGGAAAGCACACCTGGTCACATGGAATGCTCCAAAACCTTTGATTGGGAAACACAATTGATCCTTTTAGGGATAACTGAGCGTAGAAGGGGCCAGGGCCAGCTTCTACCACACAGCAGCCAGGCTGCACCAAGTGAGAAATGAAAAGCAGCAAAACACACTCCTGTGTATATGACTCTTAAAATAGGCTTTCACACAAAAAATAAAGAAGTCAAGAAAAACCATACAGCTTCAGTAAGACAAATAAAAACACATTCTTGTGGAACAGACATTAAGTACAACGCTGCAGGTGCAACACCAACGAGGGACAAAATTAGGCTGATAAAAAACCCCAAACCAACAGTATTTCTGCTCATTACTTCATCACTGAACGTTTCAGTGTAGGTGGTTGAGGACTTGCTAGCTCTAAAAGTATGAGCAGCAAACCTGAAAGTGTCAGTGTGCTAACCAAAAAAAGAATAATAAACCAAACCCAGGAAAATCTTTTAATGTGGTTTTACTGGGCTACCACAAAGTATCTTTGATTTCAGTTTTTTTTTTCAATTTCAGCCCTCTCCCTCTATCAGCAGAAAATCTGATGCTCAGAGGGGTCAAAGAACACAAGGATTAATCATTTCCTATTTCTTTGCAACACAGACCACACAATTTTTTTCATGTACCACATTTTCTCATGGTACATTAAAAAAGTCAGGTATTCATTTGAACTTAGCTTTTAAAAACAGATGACTACTTTTTATAAGACTGAAATCCAGCTTCAGCTCTAGTATTTACCTGTGAGCTGTCCTCTCCTACCATACAGTGTCTCATCCAATAACAGCCACAGTTAATGCACATCTTTGATCAGCGTAGCTGGCAACTCCTTGCAGTGTCCCCCAAAGTGTAAGAATGCAGCTAACTCACCGATTTATTTCAGCAGATGCCACAAACCATGAGATTATTTACTAATCCAGTTTGAGGACTTAACTTTTCCCATTCAGACTCTTCAAGGAATGTAGGAGGGGTTGTGCCCCAGCCAAATAAAGCACATTTGCTGCCTGGCTAGGTTCTTCTCTCAGTGCCTTGGGCCTGCACTCTGGAGGGTAATATTCTTGCTAATCCTCTCTAATCCTCTTCAATTTTTTTTTTTTTTTTAACACAGTAAAGGATCACTCACACAGCACTGCTGTGGGAAAATGGTCTCAAATATCTGACCCCTGACCCAATGCTCATGCTCTCCACAGTGCCCACTTTCCCATTATGCTAACTGGGAATATAAACCCAGCAGTGGTGGTGGAGCTCCAGTGCAAGTATTGCCACAACACACCAATGCTCAGCCCCAGGCTTTGGCCCTCTCTGAACCCATGTTACCACACAAACAGAAAAATTCCAGCTTGGCAGGTTTTCACATCCATGTTTATGCATAAAACAGGGAAGGTGTCAGTACTGAAAGTGTCTCAGTACTGAACTGAAGGTTTTGAGGTCTTTACACACAATAAAAATCTCTAAGATATTCAGATGTTTAAGATTGTTTCATAAAGAACCACAATGCAGTTACAGATTTGTAATTGGAAATGGCTTAAGAGGACCTCTCTTCTAGCTGGTTCTAACTTTCCAAACAACCAGCCTTGTAAAAGCAGAACAAAGAGAAATAATTTATTTTCCTTATGCAAAATGCTACGAACAAAGACAATGACTTTCATCTGATGTGCTAACAGAGGGATTTCCTGCTTTACACACTCATTTTCAGTCTATGGGGTAGAACAGAACAGAAATTCAAAGATCAGATTTTCTTCCCTCTCTGTGATCCACTGGGCAAGTTGCTTCACTTCTCTGCCCTTTTTCACTTGTTTGCTTTGACCATAAACATTTCAGAGCTCTAAACAGCCTGCACCAGTAAAATTCTGCTCTGTCATCTAATCAGTTGGTGCCTCGAGGCAATGTTGTAACACAAAACCCACGAAGAACGGACAGATGTACAATTAGAGGAGAAAATCAAGTTACTGAAACCTGGAATCAGTTTCTGCATTTGTCTGCAGAGCTACAGACCATATTTTAACAACAGCCTGTTCGAAATGATCTCTAACTTCTTTAAAAAAGGTATATGAGGCTCCAGAAGCAACTGGAGGATACCCAAAACAAAAGAACTTTTAGATAATGATAATGCATTATAATCTTCTGCCCCTAAAGGCAGAGGCTAAAGAAAAATCTGTCTGAGACTGTGTGAAATGAACTTGCTGCGCTCTTGATCAGTCATGCAAAGAAGCAGCAATTAGCTTCCCCAGTGCACATTCTATTGGATTGGACAGGCAGACAGAGCGCAGCGGCCGGATCATTCCAGCCTCCCCAGCAGCAGCCACTGGGGCTCCAGCATCATTTCCAGAGGATTAGACCCTGCCCTGAGCCAGCCTCCTGCTGCAAGGTTCACACTCAGAGCATCCCTAGGACAGGAAAAAGCAATGCTTGACTTTCACCCAGTGCTCTGTGGAATCTGTGTTTTGATGCCAGACATGAAATTACAGCCCGTGGTGATACAGACTCTTCATCTTGTTTACACGTGGATGAAGAAAATAAGTGACTGCAGATCTTTCAATAACCATGGAGCCATGGTTGGAAGCCCAGCAGAATAAAGGGGTTTGGAATACTAGAGTGATTACTGTTTGGAGAACTTAATTTGGCTTTAGGGACTTGGAAGCAGGGTCCTGGAATGAGATATCTTTAAGGTCCCTTCCAACACAAACCATTCTGTGATTATTTTATGACTTTAAATATCTACATTTATATTTATTAATGTCCACCCTTATTGAGAGTAAAGGGCCTTCAGTAATACGTTACTGGATTTTCCAGTGAGTTAGAAAATTTGCAGTTTAAATTTTTGTGCAAAAACCCATGTCTGAACATCAGCTATTATTTAAAAAAAAAATCTAGCCACAAAATATTTATGATATAAATACTAATGTTTTTAACAACTCCACAGAGGGAATTATAACCAAATTCAAGAAAATATGGGGCTAGAAAGGCTCCAATAACAAAATGATATTATAATATGGTATTTTTCAGAATACATTACAAGTGGTCCAATAGGAAAGAAAACACTTTTACCTTTGGAACATGAGGGTTAAATTCCACAGCTCTGTGAATTGCTTCCACAGCATTAATTTCTGCTGTACTAAGTCCTCTCCTGGAGGCAGTTTCTGGGGAGAACCTGAAGGGAAAAACCCACCTTGAACAAAAGTAATAAATAATAAATGCTAACTGGGTGTTTATTTGCACTGCAAGCTCAGAGTTCATTTAAAAATTGGCTGATTTATCAAGAAAGATAAACAAACCCCTCTAGGAGAAAAATGTTCATGTTAAGTCAGGTATCTTGACTGCTACCCGTGACATATGAAAATTGATGTTGATCCTGACTTTCAGCTGCCTGTTACAGCATCACCTGCTGGGAGGAGGAGCGGGGCTCAGACCATGGTGAAATGCCAGCATCACCTACCACAAACATCCAAAAAACAAATCCCAAGCAAAACACTGAAAACAGCATTTACACAAAAGCACTTGGCCAATACATGGGCCAAACATCCTCCCCTGTACTAAATCTATGGATGCTTAAAAGTAGTTTTAAATTGTGTTCTATTACACACACAAATATATGTATATATATAAATACACTCAACTTGCTCTTAGAAATGTAATTGCTACATAAATAGGCATAACAGGGATGTAAAAAAGACTAAAAAAAATAAATAATCCTTTAATTGAAGCAAAGATTTCATTACAGATTAGAAGTAATTTTAAAACAAAGGATTTAGACCTTTTTCCCTTCATATTTTACATCAGAACCCAAGATACAGTGACAAACCCTTGTTTTCACACATGTCCTTGCTTACCTTTCTGAAACAGCTCTGGCTTTTAGCAGAGCTGCTGTGTAACATATTGCTGCTGATTTGGGAAGACTGATATCTGTGATAAAATAAAATAATTAAGCTGTAAGATTCTAAGGCAATACAAACATTTTAAACCCACATCCTTTGAGTTAAAGATTTTTTCCTTGGGTATGGGAGACAATGAATTTAGCATCTGGAACATTTCAGCTGTGATTAGAAACTCTGAATTGTCTTTTTTCTGACAGTCACCAGTCAGCCTCAGATTGAAAACCCAAAGTTGTATTTAGGTGATAGTCCCCTTTTGTTTCTAAATGTACCAACACACTGAAACTGAATCCAAAGAGAAATGTGCATACAAATACACTTAAGAACAGAATGTATTTCCTGTATTAACCCACAAAGATTTAAAGTAAGCTTCTGATCTTAATTTTGCAACAGTACATTAACACAGTTCTGTACAATGCTGAGACACTGACCAGAAGCTGACCACAAAAAATGACATTACAGACAGGTAGATGAATTTGAACCAAAACGCGATTTCCGTTCTTCTGCAGCTCCATGAGGGAAAATTCTGTTAGCTGTAGCTTTGTAGCATATCTGAAGCCAAGTCTGAGCTGACAATTACAGATTAGAAGGTTAGCACTCCACAGTGCAAGTTTACTTTAAAAGCAGACAAAGTCTGGGGTCTAATTCCCAAGTACCACGTTGTGTATAGTCAGATGGTTCTTGCTTTTCTTCTAAATCCCATCCTGGGCCTGTCCATCACTTACTGCAAGTCTGGCTGTTGTGTCAAGCCAAACACAGGGGTGCTGCAGGGAGTCAAACATTTTAAACCCACATCCTTTGAGTTAAAGATTTTTTCCTTGGGTATGGGAGACAATGAATTTAGCATCTGGAACATTTCAGCTGTGATTAGAAACTCTGAATTGTCTTTTTTCTGACAGCCTCAGATTGAAAACCCAAAGTTGTATTTAGGTGATAGTCACCTTTTGTTTCTAAATGTACCAACACACTGAAACTGAATCCAAAGAGAAATGTGCAAACAAATACACTTAAGAACAGAATGTATTTCCTGTATTAACCCACAAAGATTTAAAGTAAGCTTCTGATCTTAATTTTGCAACAGTACATTAACACAGTTCTGTACAATGCTGAGACACTGACCAGAAGCTGACCACAAAAATGACATTACAGACAGGTAGATGAATTTGAACCAAAACGCGATTTCCGTTCTTCTGCAGCTCCATGAGGGAAAATTCTGTTAGCTGTAGCTTTGTAGCATATCTGAAGCCAAGTCTGAGCTGACAATTACAGATTAGAAGGTTAGCACTCCACAGTGCAAGTTTACTTTAAAAGCAGACAAAGTCTGGGGTCTAATTCCCAAGTACCACGTTGTGTATAGTCAGATGGTTCTTGCTTTTCTTCTAAATCCCATCCTGGGCCTGTCCATCACTTACTGCAAGTCTGGCTGTTGTGTCAAGCCAAACACAGGGGTGCTGCAGGGAGTTTGAAGCTTGGACTCATTTTTCCAGATGCTCAGAAAAAAATCAACAATGCTTTCTTAAGAAAGTGTCACAATTTCTGGTGTTAACAGAAAGAAGCACTGGGCAAAGTGCAAATGGTTTTCATAAATTAAAAAGAATCCACCCAGAAGAGGACCAAGGAATGGGAGCAGGGTGCTCGGCTGGCACAGGATTTGGGGAAAAATATAATACCTTTGATTCCCTGAGGCAATGAAGAACTGACATAACAGAGAAATCAACAACTTCTGACAATAACTGTCATAAAATACTGCTATGTCCCTCCATTCCAAAGGTGATTTAAGGCCCTGCTTTGACAGCAGCCTTTTGTACACTCATGAATTGGGCACTATCCAGGTGGCAAAACTGAGGGCAATAAAAAATAAGAACATACTTTATTAACCTTTATTTAGACTTACACAATATCCAAAACCTACTGATTGAGACAGAAAGTGAAAGCAAACAACAATTTGATGCACACCACTGATCTCTGGCAGCAGCATGTTTGCACACTGCTAATCTCTGATAAGCAACCTCAGTGTTACAGAAGCACACCACCAAGCCTGGAAGGTGACAAAAAGGAAAACTACCTTTTCCAGCTTATTTACATCAATTACTTCCAGGCTATGCACTGGCTGAAAAAGGCTGATGAATTTAGGCATATCCAGGGATGTAGAAGAGATTAATTAAAATGATCCTTGAATTGAAGCAAGGATTTCTTTACAGATTAGCAGTAACTTAAAAACACAGGAAGTAATTCATATGCAATTTAGTTTGCCTAAATTTGACCTTGGCAGCCAAAAGGAGAACTTGACCTGCACTCTGCAGGCACCTATTTGTTGCTGATGAAGGGAGCCTGCTCACCTTGCTGAGGCCATGGCTAGACTCTGCCTGTGGACAGACATCCCTTGCCCACCTCACTCACATTCTTATCCAAAAACACCCACATTTTCCAACAGGCATCACTTACCATCATACTTGGCTAAAACTGCCTGGACATCTGCATATGCCTGTAACTCCAGAAGGGCCTCTAGGAGGTTTTCGTGGATATTCAGCATACTGAGAAGTGGAAACTCTTTCATCAACTGCAAATCAGTAAAGAGAAATAAATTACAAATAGAATTGCAGTTGAATGACTGAAATACTTAATAGAAATCAGTACAATAATCTAGGGCTTTTTAATGTTCTGTTGTCTCAGAGTGTGAGAGACTGGCATGGAAGCAGCAAGAAAAGAACTGCATCATTTCAGAAAATCACAGAATGGTTTGGGTGGGAAGCAACCAAAGCTCATTTCATTCCAACTCCCTGCCATAGCTGAAGGGTAGGGACATCTCCTACTAGACCAGGTTACACAAAGCCCCATTCAATCATGTGCAAACTCATGGGAAAATAATTCAAACAGATTAATTATGATGCCTAGAAATGAACTTAAAACCATCAATTAGGACAATGTGATTGAAAACAACTGTTAACTCAGGTTTTTTTTATTTTTACTTACATCTCTCATCATTTTTACTGCTTCTCGTATTCTTCCAAGTTTCCTGGCACACATGGCTAGTCTCCTTTTCACATACACCAGTACATTGGTGTCTCTTCCTGATTACAAAGACAAAAAGCATTAGTCTATCAGTTTCAATCCTTACCTCTCCTAATCATAACCTCAGTTTTACATTTCTGCTCACACAAACCCAGGAGTTCATGTGATTCAAAGTCCTTACTCAGCTGTGCTTCATGCTGGGGGCTCTGGGAATGGCAGTTCTGAGATTTTCTGTAAATCATTTCTCCTGCTTTCAGAGCCTGCTTGAAATATTTCTCAGCATCCACAATAGTTGTTGCTTCTTCCTCAGCCAGGAGGACATATGCAGTAGCACAACTGAAATAAGAGAAAAACCTACCAGTTACTTTGAGGTAGGAAGTTTAGTATTTTTATTAAGTGACAGAAGTGTTAGAAATGGGCAAGATTCACTTATGTTTAAGATGTAAGCATTGACAGTATTAAAATTCCAAAACACTGACTTGAGTTCAAAGGGGGAGGGATGGGAAAAAATAAACCTTTTCCATTTTACAGAAAAAACCACACACACCCCCTCCCATTTGGAGCAAAAGCAAAGGAAAAAATTGTTCAAGCAAGTTAAATTATTTCTCCTTGAAACTGTAAAAATGGTCTGTAATTGTCTGCAAAGGTTTTTCTTTGTTTGGTTTACTTTTTAAAAATCAGGAGGTTTTAAAACATTTTACACAAAAATAACAAGACAACATAGCAAAGTGGATCACAGTTGTGGGTGAAATTCTTTGGTTTATGCTACAGAGTATTTTTAATTCCTTTACAGGAGTGGCATCACTGAGTTCCAAATACAATTCTACCATGATACCATCTCTGAAATACATGACCTTATATTCAATTAAGACCACTCCATACATGAATATGATTTCTCATTTGTTATTGCCACTAACACAGCAATTTAAGAAAAAAAAAGCTGCACAAAAGATGTTTTTAGTAGAAGAGTTCAATATTTCAGGGCAATTTACAGCCCCATGTGCAATTCCCAGTGCGAGGAGCCCCCCTTAAGCACTCAGAACTTTGCTGTAAGTGAATTATTAGATGAAGAAACTGACAGTGTGCTCAGTATCCTTCCACTTAATCCTTCCCACTAGAAACACAGCAGCTGAACGTACAAACTTACTCATTGTTCAACTCTAGAGCTTGATATGCTGCTTTAATCCGGGCTTGCGGGTTCCTCTCTCGCCAGGCTTTCTGCATAACTGTAGGAAACACATGGAAAGGCTGGTGAGGGACAGACACCTGTGAAAGACCTGGGAGCCAGCCCTAGTCAACATTCCCTCCAGTCTGATGGGAGCCAGCAGAGGCAACACTGGCTGCTGGGAGCCAGCCCTAGTTAACATTCCCTCCAGTCTGAAAATTCCTGTTTGCTGCACGATTGTTATAAGGAAGAACAAACAACTGTTTTTCATTTCAGCCTGTTCCTACCACAAGCATCAAATTCCAGCAACAGCTCAGTACACCCCAAATTTAGTCTAAGAAAGCAACACCACCAGGAAGATTCCTCGCTGGCCATTTCAGAACTCCTCCACGGAGCACAGACACAGCTTACATAACCAGGCAGATGTACTATTTCTAAACTGCTACAGGTTTTTGGAAACATTCCCCAAGACTTGTTGAAAGCTTGGCAGGAGCAATTGTTAAACACAGGTTCACGCACAGACCTGCAAAGAACTTTAATTTAAGCTTTCAAACAGAACTTCAAAGAAAACAGTGATGGAGTAAGTGGTGTCTTGCACAGGTAGAGTTTTATACTTAAATATTAAACTGGCCAGAGCAGCTGCAGCTGCCCCTGGATCCCTGGAAGTGTCCAAGGCCAGGTTGGACACCGGGGCTTGGAGCTCCCTGGGATAGAGGAAGGTGACCCTAATCATGGCAGGGGGTGGAGCTGGATGAGCTTTCAGGTCCCTTCCAACCCAAAATACTCTGGGATTCTGTTCCATGATTATTTTTAGACAACCGTTAGATCACAAAGGGTTAACAATTTATTTTTAAATTTACAAAGCACATTTGAGTGGCATCACAAGGCAAAGCCAATTCAGGATATACATTTATCAGCTTATTTGGTTTGGGAACAAGCAAAAAGGGTGAAATCTATTCAGAAGTGTCCTCTGAACTACAACTTGAATTCAAAATTATTTCAATGCAATGACTCTAGACCCCTCCTACCATGCTTCCATTTGGTAAAACTGGAAACACAAACTGAAAATCAACTTCTAGGAAAACAACACATTCAGAGCTACCATTTTCTATGCAGGATTATTAACTTTCACACTAAAAAGCAGTCCTGAAAGAACTCCAAAACCCTACATTCATGGAGTTTGATATCTGGCCTATCTCAAGGACGATAAGAAAACTGAAGAATCTATACATGTTTCTTTTGGAACAAAACCTCCTGCTGTCCAGCAAGAATAACGTGGAAAAATATTTGAGTTTTCTTTCGGAAACAAAATATTAGTCTTGGCTCAGCAAGCGAGACAATTCACTCCCTTTGTGAAATAAAAACACATCTTTCATATCAAACATGTCACAGCCAGCTGACAAGGAACACCTCCGGAATGTGACAAATTGACAATAATTCACACCCACGCTGACAATAACCAGGTAAAGAACATTTTCTGCACTAAACATGTGGAACACAAGGAAAAAAATCTGGAGACTGCACTATTCATTACTAAGGTTGAAATGAGACCACATTTTGGCTGTTGAGAATATAATCCAGGTTTGTAATGTTGTGTTAATTATTTGAAATGTGTGAGATCTTAAAAAACATCAGGACTGTGACAGCACTAAAGTCATAAAGAATGCACAATGTGAAACAACACCTTTCCACTAAATTTCACTAAACACTAAAATTCCAGAGGCTTGGAGCAGCCTGGTCTAGTGGAAGGTGTCTTGCAGAGGGGGGAACTGGATGGGCTTTAACTCCCAACACAAACCACAGATCCTCTACATGTATTAAACCTCTTTAGTAGTTGAGAAAGGCTAGTTTCATGAAATATTTGACACAATAACTTGCACTACTTTCAAGTTCAGTAAAAGCACACACTTGGCACTGTCCAACACTCACACACCTTAGGCAGACATCAGTACCTGTGTCTGAGGGCCGGAGGGCATCCGTGTCACAGGTGAAAAAGCTCTGATGATCTTGAGCAGACAAATTCATGTCATAGTAAGTAAGAGGCTCCTTCCCCGTCACCCACATGTACCTAAAACAACAGATTTCAGTAAAAGGCATTCCTAGTAATTAGCAATGCTGATATCAAGGCAATATCTGATGTGCCTAGTGCAGAAAATCTGTAATAAAAGACTAAAGCTACTAACACAAAGTTTCAAGTACTACTGTTCAATAATCTGTAAAGTTCTAAACAACCTGGGAACTGGCTTCCTAGAAAGCAGCTTTTCCCATGAAGTAACACTAGGAGACTTACAATATAGTTTAATAAAAGAGAATTTAGATTGAGAATCACTGTCTCAACCTCTGAATTAAGTTTTTTCCCCTACTTTACTCTCAAAAAGCCCTGATGTTACAGCAATATTTTAGTTCTTAACACTGAAACTGCCAAAGCTTGGCTTGGTGCCTTTTAAACACAGGATTGGTATCAACCACCCCTATAATCCTGCAGGTCTCCAGCTGTCTCCTGACATTACCAGCGCAAGCCCTGTGAAGAAGTCATGTGCATGCCCCCGATTAAATTTAAAAATATGCAGTGGAAAGCAAGATAATTAATACCTGCTATACTCTGCCCCTCTGAAAAGATTGAGAGGATTTCGCCACACTTTGCACTCTGAGGAATAACAAAATAAAAGTAGTTTTTAAATTAAAAGCACGGGAAATTAACTTGACATTAAAATGCAGTAATGCAAAAGCAGTTGTGTTTTCAAAAGCTGCTTTAATTTTATTATTAGGCAATCATCATCTTCATGAACTTCTGCTAGTCTGTAAACATTTTTGCTCCCCAGCATTGCTGGGGTACAAAAGCACAGGGTGGGAAGAATAAGCAATGCATGTACACCCATGCAATATTTACCTTTAGAACAGTAAATAACTAGTGCTACTGAAACAGTTTTAGCTAAATGTATAACATTTTCTAAATCATATCTTTAACAATGAATGCCTTAGACTGAAAAACCACAATGATTTAGTTTATTTTTAGCACTACTAACAAAACACTTTGTAAGATGTAGGCTTTGTCCATTTTTTAGAAGCACTAACGCAGAGCCAAAGCCACTACAAGCCCCCTCAAAGCTCAAGGAAAGCCCCTGGGACTCATCAGGAATCACCTGGCATGTTCTGCCTGCTGGTCTCGCTCTCCCCCGCCGAGAAAGCTGCTGGGGCTGGGGGGCTGCTCTCTGCACCCCCGATGAGGGGCCTCAGATGGCTCACAGAAACCTGCTCGATGAAGGACGTGCCGTACTTTCGGAAGTGCCACCACTCAAACACCTGTCACAGCAGAAAAGAGCACCAGAAGGTTCCTTAGGTGGCACCCTCCCAGCAAACACTGGGGACAAAGGGGGCTCACAGCGAGGACATGCCCTGCCAAGGACCAGGGAGGGAACCCTTCCCCAAGCAGAGTAACACCATGATCTAGCCTGGCCTGACTTGCCATGCAGGATCACTCACAGAGCATCCAAGAGATTGGAAAAAAACAGCAACATTTTAGTCAAATGTTATATTCCTCCCTCCCAAAGTCATCAGGGTAACTCAGAAACCCTTTCAGAAGCACCTGTATAGGGGAACTGTGAACAGAGGCAAAAAGCCATTATATCCTCTTTTCTGGTGAGGATATTTCAAGCTGTAGTACCTGCAGTACCAAATTTGTAGTATTCAAAAGAGTAGTTTTTTAATTTCACAATAATAATCTGAAAGAATGAAGGATAAAACGGCCCATTAAACTGAGATGTTCTGCTAAGCAGAAAGAGAGAGGCTAACAAAGAAACAAGGCTAAGTTAACACAATGACAGTCACTTAGCAGAAATTCTGGGCCAAAAATACCACCATCTCTTTTTGAAGCTATTAAAAATACCTGCATATCACAAGCCTTCAAGGACCACACCGTCTCTTTTTGAAGCTATTATAAATTAAATATTAAAAATACCTGCATATCACAAGCCTTCAAGGACCACACCGAAGTGTCAGCCCTGGAGCAGCCTGGATCAGGCCCTGTCTGCTCTCTGAGGTGACCAGTGACAGGCTGGAGCTTGCAGGGGAGGTAAGCCACTCCAGCATCCCACACAGGTGATCTTCTCAGACTCACACAGTCCCAACATGCAACACACACAGCTAAAGAGCTGCAACAAGACATCAGAGAAGTTCCTTCCCAGCACAAAGGCACCCTCTAGAGTCTGATATTCACTCCCTTTACCCCTCATAAAGCCATCCCAGAGGTGCTGAAGTTGTTTCAAAAAAAACAAAAAGAAGGGGGCTACTTACAAATATCAGTCCAGATATAAAAGATGAAGTTACTGTAAGGGCAAAGTAGAATTTTGGAGTCAAAGTGCTTAAGAACATGGTCACTGTTAAGAGAAAAAAAACGAGAGACTTAATAATCAGAACCGAAATAGATAAACAGCTTGTCTATTAAAGAATTCCAAATATCATGCAAATACATAGTACACTATAGCCCTAGTAGCTTTATAATGCTACACTCTTAGGGGAATCCTCACCACCTATTATTTTGTTTGTATCTACCTGTGACAGCCAATTTTTATATCCCACAAAAAAAAAAAAAAAAATCACTATTTTTCTAGACAAAGCATCTTACAGTTTCATCCATACAGTGGCTGCTGGACCACAACAAGCCAATTTAATACATTATTTCACTTTCAGACAAAATCACCCTGTTCTGATGCAAATTTATATGCAGTGCCAACATACGTTTTCCACAGACCTCTCCCTCCTGCTGTCGTGAGCACAGTGCAGAGAACGCAGCTATCTAGTGGTGCTCTGGCCATGGTTTGGACTCAAACTGCACATCAGCCCTGTCACCTGCCACCAGCACAGGCTGGACAGGGACAGTGGCGGCCAGGGCAGGGCTCTGGCCAGGGCAGGGCTCCGGCCAGGGCATGGCCAGGGCAGGGCTCCGGCGGGGAGCACGCAGCAGCAGCAGCGTGTCCCTCACCCCGGGCTCAGGTGACAAGCTCAGTGTGTCACCAAGCGAAGGTGGGATGCACCACCTGCCCGTAGGCACGGCTGGGACAGACTCACAGAATCAGAGTATCAATCAGTTTAGAACCAACCTTATCGAGTCCAACCTGTGAGCAATCCCCACCCTGTCAACAAGCCCAGAGCACGGGGTGCCACACGGGTGGGCACCCCACCACCTCCCTGGGCAGCCCATTCCAAAGCCTGACCGCCCTTTTCACCAAGAAATTCCCCTGATGTCCAACCCGAACTTCCCCAGGCACAGCTGGAGGTCGTGTCCTGTTCCCTGGAGCAGAGCCCGACCCCCCGGCTGTCCCCTCCTGGCAGGAGCTGTACAGAGCCACAAGATCCCCGTGAGCCCCCTTTTCTCCAGGCTGAGCTTCTTCCCAGCTCCCTCAGGATTCTCCAGCCCTTCCCAGCTCCCTCAGGGCTTCTCCAGCCCTTTCCCAGCTCCCTCAGGATTCTCCAGCCCTTCCCAGCTCCCTCAGGGCTTCTCCAGCCCTTTCCCAGCTCCCTCAGGATTCTCCAGCCCTTCCCAGCTCCCTCAGGGCTTCTCCAGCCCTTTCCCAGCTCCCTCAGGATTCTCCAGCCCTTCCCAGCTCCCTCAGGGCTTCTCCAGCCCTTTCCCAGCTCCCTCAGGATTCTCCAGCCCTTCCCAGCTCCCTCAGGGCTTCTCCAGCCCTTTCCCAGCTCCCTCAGGATTCTCCAGCCCTTCCCAGCTCCCTCAGGGCTTCTCCAGCCCTTTCCCAGCTCCCTCAGGATTCTCCAGCCCTTCCCAGCTCCCTCAGGGCTTCTCCAGCCCTTTCCCAGCTCCCTCAGGATTCTCCAGCCCTTCCCAGCTCCCTCAGGGCTTCTCCAGCCCTTTCCCAGCTCCCTCAGGATTCTCCAGCCCTTCCCAGCTCCCTCAGGGCTTCTCCAGCCCTTTCCCAGCTCCCTCAGGATTCTCCAGCCCTTCCCAGCTCCCTCAGCCCCTCCTGCTCCTTCTCTGCACAGCCCCCAGCCCCTCAGCGTTCCTCCTGAACGGTCCCACACGCGGGCACGGCAGGTGCGCAGCACGGCGGGACAATCGCCGCCCCGGCACTCCCGCTACAGCCCGGCTGCAGCTCGGCACGGCCGGGCCGAGCCTGCCCTGCCCGCACGCCCGGCTCCACAGGCAGGGTCCGCCTCCCCCCGGCGCACCGGCCGCCCCTGCCGCCCTCACCGGCCGCCAGGCCGTCCCGGAGCCGCACCGGCACCCGCAGCACCGCGTACAGGAGCCCGAGCCCGGCGGCCGCGGCCAGGAGCCCGCGGGCCCAGGGCGTCGCAGCCCGCCGCCGCAGCTGCTCCCAGCGCCGGAACGCCGCGGCCGCGCCGGG